GAATTCCTCGTGACATTCGGGATCTCATCTGGGACTCAGAACAACATCCGGTAACCACATACAAACTTCCTTTATAACCCTAGCGTCATCGAACCTTAAGTGTGTAGACCCTACGGGTTCGGGAACCATGCAGACATGACCGAGACGTTCTCCGGTCAATAACCAACAGCGGGATCTGGATACCCATGTTGGCTCCCACATGTTCCACGATGATCTCATCGGATGAACCACGATGTCAAGGACTCAATTAATCCCGTATACAATTCCCTTTGTCTAGCGGTATTGTACTTGCCCGAGATTCGATCGTCGGTATCCCGATACCTTGTTCCATCTCGTTACCGGCAAGTCTCTTTACTCGTTCCGTAACACATCATCCCGTGATCAACCCCTTGGTCACATTGTGCACATTATGATGATGTCCTACCGAGTGGGCCCAGAGATACCTCTCCGTTACACGGAGTGATAAATCCCAGTCTCGATTCGTGCCAACCCAATAGACACTTTCGGAGATACCCGTAGTGCACCTTCATAGCCACCCAGTTACGTTGTGATGTTTGGTACACCCAAAGCATTCCTACGGTATCCGGGAGTTGCACAATCTCATGGTCTAAGGAAATGATACTTGACATTAGAAAAGCTTTAGCATACGAACAACACGATCTTTGTGCTAGGCTTAGGATTGGGTCTTGTCCATCACATCATTCTCCTAATGATGTGATCCCGTTATCAATGACATCCAATGTCCATGGTCAGGAAACCGTAACCATCTATTGATCAACGAGCTAGTCAACTAGAGGCTTACTAGGGACATGGTGTTGTCTATGTATCCACACATGTATATGAGTTTCCTATCAATACAATTATAGCATGGATAATAAATGATTATCATGAACAAGGAAATATAGTAATAATAACTAATTTATTATTGCCTCTAGGGCATATTTCCAACAGTCGGTGAGGTCGATGAAGACCGGAGCAGGGCCAGCCCACCCGAACGCCGCCTGGTACCTGCCAGGGCAGCCTCCTTCGGCGTCTGCTGGGGCGGCGGCATTGCGGCAAGCCGCACGCGCTCCTCCTCCTCCTCCTCGAGCCGGAGCGCCTCCGCGTCGCGTTGGAGCATGGCCTCGTAGCGCATCTGCTCCTCACCGTCGGCCTGCTCCTGGCGGAGCCAGTGCTCCTTCCATCATTCGAGGTGGGCCGCCCCCTCCTTCGGCGTCGCGGCGAAGTGGACGGGAAGCGTGCTCACCCACTCGCGATACTGGCCCGTCCACGAGTAGGCCTCCTCCGGCCAAGTGGGTTGAGGTGGGGAGCGCTTACGCGACGGCTCCGGCTCCGGCTCCGGCTTGGGCTAGACAGGCGGCGACGGTGGAGGTGGCGGCACAAAGAGCAGGGTGTGGACGGAGTCCCCCGCCGCCGACAGGGCAAGGGCTTGCTCCAGCCCATCCCAGTGCGTGTCCTCCTCGATGCGGCTAGCCTCCATCGCGTGCTGCAGGGCCTCCTCGAGGGCGGCTTGGTACTCCGCCTCCGCCTCCATGTCCTCCGACTCTACCTCCGGGGGCAGCGGTGGGAACGGCGGTGGGACGGCGTCGACACCCGAGCGCCGTTGCTCCTCGTGTTCGAGGGCGAACCAAGCCTCCCAGTTGGGAGAGTCGGCGGCGTATTCGGGCAGCCGATGCTGCTTCGGCGTGAGCTGCGCACGGCGCCGGCACACCTCATCGTCGTGCGCCCGCTAGGACAGCGGAACCGCGGACACCGGGATCCGCTGGGGATCCAAATGCCAATGGTGCGGCAGCGTCACGTCGGGGTAGGGGAGGGGCTGCCTGTACTCCTAGTGCCACCGCGTTTGGTGCACCGGGATGTGCAGGCGCTGACGTTCAGGGCGGAAACGCGCCGGCGGTGGAGGGGCAGGGGGAGCACGGGATGACGAGGCGCCGGGGGTGCCCTTGCCCTTGCCATTGCTGCTGCCGAAGAGGCCCATGGGCGCGCTAGGGTTTGCGGTCACCGGCGAGGAAGCAAAGGGAGTGGTGGGGGGCCAGATGTGGACGGGGGAAGTGGATGAGGCCGACCCCGCCGCACGCGTGGTTAAAAAAGGACGCGCGCATTGGCTGACGCGTGGGTTCGCTGTCGGTGGTCGTCATAAATAAGACGACTGGTGGCGGTTGGGTGGCCGCCAGATGGGGATGCGGTGGATGGCGAGGAGACGGGCGGCGCGTCCGCTTCGCGTCCGTGCCGACGCATTCCATGCGCAATTTTGGGCCGGAAATGGGTCGGCGCGAACGCCAGACGGACACGATTTGAGTTTGGGTCGGTGCGTTGGGCCGCCACTTTTGTCCGCGCCGACCCAAACGGATACGGGCGGACGAAATAGGTCGCTCCATCGAAGTTGCTAGCATATACAAAGAGAGGAGCCGGCATCAGATGATTGATGCACCGGAATACAAAATCTTAAAGCCTATGTCATTTCACAACGGAGTCATGCACTCATGGTTGCCAAAGTCCGACCGTTTGCTATGTATACGTAACACCGGTTGGTTCACTAGACAAGTTCAGATCGTTTGGTGGGTCGTACATCGTTGTCCTGTTGATGCATCGCGGTACTTACCAGTATGCTATCAGTGTCACGCCAAACCAAACCCCGACTGCTTACGAGAATGAGATGTGGTGATGCCGCAAGAAACTTTACTGAAAGGTTCTTTGGACATCGCAATTAAGGAATTGGTCGGCCGAGGCGCTCGCCGACGCCATTCTACTACGCCGGTGGGCGCTGACGGAAGAGGAAACTGATTAACAAAACAGGGGGCAGGTCAAGCAGCTGGTCAGGCTGGTCAGCTGGGGTTCCGGTTAGACCATCTTCAACAAGTGCGGCAAAACGCGCGCCCGCGCGGTAAAATCAGTTTTTCGCGCGCGCCGGTTGGTTCCGCGCGCTCCGTCGGTGGCGAGAAGTTACCGCGCGCGGGAAGCGTTTGCGCGCGCACGGTAGAAAGCGGCACGCTAGATTTGGCGCGCCGCTTTGCGCGCGCCTATAAAGTCCCGCGCTTCGCCACGCGCACAGAACAGTCACGCGCCCTTCTCCTAGCAATCTCGCCGCTTCGCCCTCCACCGCTTCGCCGCATCGCCACTTTCTGCGCCACCACCGCGCCACCATGCCGCCGCGCCGCCGGGGTGCTTCAGGCTTTCGCGGCGTCCGTGAGCGCCCCAACGGCTGGTACTCCGCCGAGATACGGGCCGGCGACGTCCGGCTCGGCCTCGGGACGTTCCGGAGCGCGCGCGAGGCGGCCCACGCGTACGACGCGGCGGCGTGGCGCTTGGAGAGGCCCCAGTCCCAGATGAATTTCCGGGACGTCTTCACGCGCGAGGAGGCGCAGCGCCTCGCCCCTCCGCCGCGTCTCATCACGGACATGGACCGTGCCAACCACGCTCGGCGGCAGCGCCGTCTCCTCGTCGCCGAGGAGGACGAGCGAGCCATGACGGAGTGACGCCGTCGCCACCCAGAGGACGTCGACGCCGAGCGTGCCTACTAGGCGGAGAGGACGGCAAGGCGCCGCTCGGAGCGGGCGGACCGGCGTCAGCGGAAGGCAGTGGCGAACGAGCAGTGCGACATCGTCTCCGCAGGTGGGAGGTCGTTCTTCACCTCGGACGATGGACGTTGGGACGACGTATGGCTCTCAACCTCGAACGACACCGACGAGGATGACGATGGTGGTAGCGACTTAGAGTAGTTTTCTATCTATGTATGTCGTAATAGTTTCTATCTATCTATCTATGTATGTCGAACTATCTATCATCTACGCCGTAGTAGTTTCTATCTATCTATCTATGTATGTCGAACTATCTATCATCTATGCCGTAGTAGTTGCACCGATGTAAAATATCTATGTATCGCTTTTTTTATCTATGCAATTTTAATTAAAAAAAATATTGTAGAATGAGCGCGGGCGCTGCATTTTACCGCGCCTGCTGGAGCTGCGCGCGCGCGCGGTTTTTCAGCGCGGCTGCTGGAGCAAACGCTGCGCGCCGCGCCAAATCCGTTTTTACCGCGCGGCGCGTTGGGCGCCTGTTGGAGATGCTCGTAGCTGGGGTTTGTTATAACTTGTCAAAAGATGCCAATATAAAGAGTTAAGGGTTTTTAGGGTCTTGTTAGATGCCCTAACCTAACCGTAGCATATACAAAGAGAGGAGCCGCCATCAGATGATTGATGCACCGGAATATACAAAATCTTAAAGCCTATGCCATTTCGCAGCGGGTTCATGTACTCATGGTTGCCAAAGTCCGATCGTCTGCTTTGTATACGTAACACCGGCCGGTTCACTGAAAAAAGTCAGATCGTTTGTTGGGTCGTACAGCGTTGTCCTATTGATGCTTTGCGGTACTTACCAGTATGCTATCAGTGTCACGCCAAACCAAACCCCGGCTGCTTAGGGCATGTACAATGGTGGCATATGGATACATATGCCCCATGACAAAAAGTAATTTGAGGTATGTATATTTATTTTTTCTTCCCAATGCAAGCTACAACTGGTGGGCCTCATTAAGAAATAAAAATTAAAGATTCTATCACACATGCATCTCTACTTTTCACTCCAACCTTTTCAGCTTTTGTCATCGGACCACACTTTTTCTTTCAAGCACCCGCCTCCTGGAGAGGATCCCGCTTCCCTATCCGAACCTACTTTACGTCATATCCGATCCTACATGGCATGCGAAACATCACCTTGAGGCTATGCATTGTACATGCCCTTACGAGAATGAGATGTGGTGACGCCATTCTACTACGCCGCTGGGCGCTGACGGAAGAGGAAAACTCGTTAACAAAACAGGGGGCAGGTGAGGTCAACCAGCTGGTCAGACTGGCCACTCCTTTCCATCCGAGGTCTAGGGATATATATCCTCGTCCCGTCCGGCGACCTTCCCACACTGACACAGCCAGCACACAGCCACACACACCACGCTCCCGGCTTTGAGAGATCGATCGAAGCGACCAAAAAGCTAGCCCGCTTGCATGAAAGGCTTGAAACCCATCGTCTTGGTTAACTCCCTCAAAACCGTCGAAAAGGCGGTGATCCTCTGGCACAGTAACCGGAGCGGCCTTCGCCTCGTCCTCGTCGGATTGTTTCTGCTCAACCTGGCGCTGACGGCGGCGATGGTGAAGCTGGCCAGACAGCCCGTCAACCTGGATTCTGTGCGGCCCTTCTTCGAAATAGCCGTCAACTCGACCACCACGGGGGTGGGAGCCGGGGCGGACGCCTCGCTCTCCTGGCAACCCAGATCCTTTGCACACGTAGGCCTAGGGGAATTCTTCACCGTGTTATCAATGAGTGCGGCCATCATTTCCTTCTCCTACACACGTAACCGTAATCTTCCAGGTATTTCTATCCCTTTTCGGTTCACTTTATTTTTATTTTATGACTTGGGTAAAATCTTTTTTGGTGCATTTTCACATTTGTGTGTTCCAAGATGTTTTCTGTCATAGCATTAATTCAACCTTTCTAGGTTTTATGCTAAGTTTTGTTGTGTCTTTACAATAGTTAGATGGAAGTGCATGAGTTGATTTAAGTACTTGTTGGTCGCCGCTCATTCAAATCATTTATATACATGGGCAATGTTGTATTTCATTATGTGAACCACATGGAAAATATTGTAGATAACGGGTCACGGAGGAAATTCAAGAGACTGTGCAGTCTCTTATTTGCCGGTATTGGCATGTTCTTCTACATATCAGCAGTTGTGGACTATCTTGACCTGGACGATCGCAAGTCCCGCTATTTCCAAGAACTCTTCGAATTCTTATACATGCTCACCATTGTTGTTGCTTCAAAAGAATACACATCTGGGTTGCTCTCTGCAGCCAACAAGGCATGTTTGCTCGCCGGGGGAAAGTTCTTGGAGATAATTGTGTTGGGTACAATGACTTTGGTCGTCCAGGACAGTCTGGATGATATCTACGTGGATGGAATGCATTTATTATATCGAAAGGAGCAAGAGGAGACATCTGACTTAAGGAAGGGCACGGTCGCTAAAATCTTCTTGATCTCCATCGCCCCAGCCTTGCTCACTCTCGTGCTGCAGGTATTCCAATGCTCGGTGATCTTGGCGTTTTACGGTGATGGCAGACTCCCAGAGGTAAGCAAGGCCTTGATGGTGTCACTCAACCATTTTTTTTTCTTGGGCAACGGGCAGGAGTTCTGCCTTCTCATTAAGAAGAACAGAATTGGCCAGATTGGCCCAAAACCGAGTGCGACTCAAGTTTCAGGAGCAATTTCGCACGTTTTATTTACGTGTACCCTTGTCTGCTCCTATTTGCAGGAACAGCAGGGCGATGGCAACGATTCCTCGGACGATGGCGGGAGTGACGGCAGCTCGAGTGATGGAGGCAAAAAGACCAACTAAGCCGCGCGCGCGTGTGTGGCAGTCGTGACGGTTGTGGCGAAGGAATGGCATGGCCGAAAGGCCATTCTCCAGTTGTTTTGCTGAACCCACTGCTGCCACGCTAATACAGCTGCTAGCAGCGGCTGTAGTGTATCGACTAGATGAAGAACGAATACTCTTCTTCAACTTGTTATTTCGGCAACATATGACTGTTGGTGTATACCCTTTCCTATAGTTTGAATTTCTAAACGAGTTGACTGAAGCATGAATTCAGCAACTTAGTTTGTTGTTATTTTAAGCGCGATTGCTAAATCTCAATCGACTGAGTCTTAACCAAGTGTTAGTCAATACTATATTCATGAGATCTTACATGAAAATTCGTACAAAATTTTCTTTTACTTTTTATGGGAGATTTTACGGTACATTATAATACATGAGAGCACGTGTATTATATTGGCGATCTAATGGATGAGACTAACTGGGTCTTTTTGAGCCCAAGGGTATTTTCGACCTAAAAATTTTTATACCTTTTTTTGGCCCAATTAGATCCAGGGAGGTGTGGTACAACATATGGGACACTCTACAGATCAACACGCCTCCTTCGACTTCAAGTGAGACTACCTTGGAGTGGTGGCTTCGCGCACGGAAGAGTTTCCAGGGGCCGGACAGGAGAGGCTTTGACACCACGGTCACGGCGGTCCTCTGGGCTTTGTGGAAGCAAAGGAATGCGAGAGTGTTCAATTGGGTGGAGCAACAAAAAAACCAGCTCGAGCTAGTCACCTCTATGCTTAGTGAGATAGCCGAATGGAGGCAAGCGGCAAGCGGTGTTGGTGGGTTACAACGCTTTGTGAGGAGTTAGCCTAGGTTTAGTTGGTTGGTGTTGGTGTTGGGTTGTTGTGTGGGCCGTATGTTCGCATTCGAGCCACAGGTCTTGTAATTATACTTTCTTCTTCTTGTATAAAGATATGGTACGCCTTTGGCGTACTCTCGAAAAAAAAGGTCCAGGGGTATTCCCGTCCTAATTTTTTCGATTAAATTAATTGCATTAACAAATCACTTCATTATAACACCAATCATCGTGTGTACTCTTTTGAATTTCTGTTCGAGCGGTTCGTCCTCTCTCCTCCTCTTGAGCCCTAACCTCGGGCGCCCTCGATCGCCTCCGGCGCCTTCGACCGCGTCGTGTCACTCCTTCCTACTGCTCCTACTCCCCCTCCCCCCTCCATCGCAAGTCACCCCCCTCGGGGCGCAGTGCCAGATCTTCCGACAAGCCGCTAATCCCCTCCTTCCCCGAGCCGACGCCACATTCCCCGATCCGACGCCACCTTCCCCGACCCGAGAGACCACATCATCCTCATCGACGTGCATCAACTTTTTCATGCCGGATCTTCGTTGTAAGTGCCTAGCCATCTCAAATCTTTTCTGGTCTCTTCTGCATATAGTACCAATAGGGGTCAGATTTGATTAGGATTTAGGATATGTCATGTGAGGTTTAGGGTTTATGGTTTCAGAAAGTTGTGACGAGATTTTGATTGAAATGGAGTGTAAGTTGGATTTAGCTAGGACATATTGATGGAGTTAGTAAGGGTTTATGGTTTCAGAAAGTTGTGACAAGATTTTGATTCAAAGGAAGTGTAAGTTGGATTTAGCTAGGACATATTGAAGGACTTAGTTAGGGTTATGTGGCATGAGAAAGTTGTCAGCAGATTTGGATTCAAAGTAAGTTATTTTGGATTTAGTTAGGAGATACTTTTGAATTTTGTTTTGAGATATTTTTAGATTTAGTTAGGAATTATTTTGTATGGAGTTTGGAGTTATTTTGGATTTAGTTAGGAGATAATTTGGATTTAGTTAGGTGATAATTTTGGATTTAGTTAGGAGACAATTTTGAATGGAGTTTGGAGATAATTGATCTATCAAGGTGGATCTATCAGGGGACTTGAAGGATTCATGGACTTTGGATTTAGTTAGGAGATCATCAGTTACAACAAGTACAATCAATTAAATATTTCTGGATTTAGTCAGGGCATACTTTATACTTACTTACAACTTTTGAAGGACTCAGTTAGGTACATGAATCCGATATGAAAAGATAAATCAATTATTTAAGCAGAGTAGTGCATAATTATTAAGTATGCTATCCATCCGTAACATTGACTATATGTTTTCGTTGGCAGCATAACGACACGGATGATAAAGGCAACGATGGCAAAAAGTTGGGTGATACAGGCAAGGATGACAAGGACATGAGTGATAGAGGAAACGAAGGCAAATGCATGGATGATAAGGATAATGATTTTGTAGCCATGAAACCCAAAGGAATGGATAGTATGTGCACGGATGATAATGATAATGAGGATGCATGCAAGGATGGCATAGACATGGATGATGTACACGTGCAAGGTAAAAGAATTGATAATAAAGGCATGGCTGGTCACATCTGAATGAGTATATGGAATACTTAGAGATTGTGAAGAAGACATTCAGGACTGAGGAAGAAGCCTACATGTTCTACGTAGCTATGCGAGAAAAAAAAGGGTTTGGTGTTAGAAAGGATGATCTGAACAGGGGTCCGGGTCCGGGTCCGAAACAAAATGCATACAGAAGGACATAAAAGTGTTGCAAACAAGGATGGCGGGCCCTTAAGCACTTTAACAGATCTGAAAGAAAAAGAACACCAAGGGGTCTTTCTCAGTGTGGGTGTCCCGCTCTTTTTCAGGTTTAGCTACAAGATAGCAGTGGCCTCTGGTTCGTCAAGAATTTTGTGGACAAACATAACCATCTGTTTGTCCCTGCTGACCTGAATCCCTACTTATCGGCTCATCGTAGAATGACTGATGCACAAAAGGCCGATGTCATCGAGTATGCTGTCGATGGGCTTCGAACACATCAGATTATGAATGTAATGGAGAAGAATGCCGGAGGTCCCGACAAGCTTGGATTTATAGATCGAGACCTATACAACCATGTTTCAATCCAGAAGAAGCGCAAGATAGAATGTAGTGACGCTAGATATTTGCTCACCTGTATGATTGCACAGAAAAAAAACACACCCGCAATTCTTTTTCAAATACACAAAAGACAGTGAAGGCCATTTGAGGAACATATTCTGGGCTGATTCACAATCCCGAATTGACTATGTTGCCTTTGGTCGTGTCGTGGTGTTCGACAGTACATATCGGTCTAACAAGTACAGGCTTCCGCTTGTTCGTTGGTCTGAACCATCACCACGGCACATTTTTGTTTGGGGTTGGTCTAGTGTCAGACGAGACAGTTGCATCATACCAGTGGCTTCTTCATGTATTTTTGGAGGCAATGTCCCAGAAGCCACCCATTTCAGCAATCACCCGATGGGGGACGGTGCAATGGCTAAAGCAATAGCTACTGTCTGGACCGGAATAGATCATCGTTTGTGCACGGGGCATATCGAGGAGAATATGGTGATGCACCTCCGCAAGAAAAACTTTGAGGAATTTAGGGAATTCATTTACCGTCGTTGGAATGTTGATGAGTTTGAGAAAAGATAGGAGGCTTATAAGATTCGGTTCAAAATAAATCTTCTTGAGCTCCATCGCCCCAGCCTTGCTCACTCGCGTGCTGCACATATTCCAATGCTTGGTGATCTTGGCATTTTACAGTGATGGCAGACTCCCAGAGGTAAGCAAGGCCTTGATGGTGTCACTCAACCATTCTTTTTCTTGACCAACAGGCAGGAGTTCTGCCTTCTCATTAAGAAGAACGGAATTGGCCAGATTGGCCCAAAACCGTGTGCGACTCGAGCTCCAAGAGCAATTTCGCACATTTTATTTACATGTACCCTTGTATGCTCCTATTTGCAGGAACAATCGGACAATGGCAACAAAAATATCAGGCTCCACATAGACTAGTAGAGGCCAGCTTTTTTGGGCGATTCTCCCAGAATCGTCCTCCTCCCCAGCTTCTCACAGAATTGACATTTCACATTTTTTTTTTATAATCCTAGCTGATTAGACTTTAACTAGATATATAGGATTGTAAAGAAAATATGAAGTGATGACTCTGGCGGAAGCTGGAGAGGGGGTCGATTCTGGGACCCGCGTGTGTGTATGTGGCAGTTGTAACGGTTGTGGCGAAGGAATGGCATGGCCGGAAGGCCATTCCCCAAATTGTTTTGCTGAACCCTCTACTGCCACGCTAATACAGCCGCTAGCAGCTGCTGTAGTGTATCCACTAGATGAAGAACAAATACTGCTGTTCTTGAACTTGTTATTTCGGCAACGTATGACACCTTCAGCAACTTAATTTGTTGTTATTTTAAGAGCATATTTCACCTTCGTCAGCAACTCAATGCAACAACCGTAATGGTGCGTGCGTTATGCCGTAACGCGCCGTTGGCATTGCGAAGGACTCACTCTACTGTAATCACAGCTCTCACTGCTTCAGATAGTGTTCCAGCAGAGCTGAGAAGGTCAGGCAGTTCCAGCTTCTTCAGCTCGTGCTCCGTTGCCCTCAGCCTCGGAACGACGACTTCAGAATCCTGTGCAGAAATCCTCTTCCACAGCTCACTCCAGGTAGGGCACAGATAACAGTACTCGTGAAACATGAGCCCTCTCGTCCACTCGCGGTGACGGCAGTAGGTGACCAGATGGTCGGCGAGGGTAAACGGCCGCACTGAGGTTGGAAGCACTCCATTCCTGATGTCTTCTGACTGGCTCGCCGTCACTGTGCTCTCGAATGAGCCGTCACAAAGTGAGTACACCTCGACAGGGTCCTCACTGGGCCTGGCGAAGTAGACAGAGTTGCCGCTGATTGAAGGCAGATCCCTGGATGAGACGGACAAGCACCGGTCGCGGCTGACGAGCAGCGCCCGGTCGCCGAGGGTGGTCACCCGCACGAGCTCCCGCCGGTGGAGATCCACCCTGAAGAGCGTGCTCGTCACGGGGCCGAAAGTGTCGGGGACAACCCTGTGCAGGACGGCGACATGCATGGCTCCCATGGACTCTACGAGGTAGTAGAGGCAGCTCTCAGGGTGGCCAAGCTCC